GCTTTTTGTCTGACTTCTTTCACTTAGTATGTTGTTCTATGTATCAATGATTCCTTCCTTTTTAATTCTGAGTAATATTATACTGTATGAATATACCACAATTGCTCTGTCCTTTCAGCTGTTGATAGACATTGGGTTGTTTTCAATGTTTGAGCTGTGAAGTTGCTGTCAATATTTGTGCACAGATCTTCTTCTGGGCATTTCCTTTTGCTTCTCTGGGGTGCATAGCTACGAGTGGAATGGCTGGATCATATGGTAGGTAGGTTTAACTTTTTAATAAACTGCCAAACTATGTTCCCAAGTACTTGTACCATTTAAAATTCCTGTGCTTGATTCTGCAGCACATATACTAAAATTGGAACAATACAGAGATTAGCATGCCCCTTGCACAAGGATGACACGCAAATTCGTGAGATGTTCCATACTTTTTTCTTAATAAATAAAGTTTGCTTTTACTGTACAAAAATAAATAAATAAAATAAAATAAAATAAAATTCCTACCATTAGTGTTTAGGAGTTCTAGTTGCTCCACATCCTCACCAACAGTTGATACTATCAATCTTTTTAATGTTAGCCATTCTGGTAAGTGTGTTGTGGTATCTCATTATGGTTTTGATTTGATTGCTATCTAATGTATAACGCTTTCAGCATATTTTCCTGTGTGTATTTGTTATGCATGTATCTTCTTTGGTGAATTGTCTATTCAAATATTTTGACTATTTTTAATTGGCTTATTTTCTTATCATCAAGTCTCCAGAGTCCTATATACATACTCTCAGTACAAGTCCTTTATAAGATATAATGAGCAAAGATTTCCTCCCAGTCTATGACTTACCTTTTCATTCCCCTAATGATGTCTTTTAAATAGCCACAAAATTTTAATTTTGGTGAAGTTAAATTTATAAATTATGGATGATGTTTTTGGTGTTGTATCTAAGAAAGTTTTGCTTAATCCAAGGTCACAAAGATTTTTCTCCTATTTTCTTCTAGAATGTTCATATTTTTATATTTTACGTTTTGAGCTAATTTTTGTATATGTTGAAAAGTATGGATTGAAATTTGTTTCTGCATGCAGATGTGCAGTTGTCCCAAATCCATGTGTTGAAAACACTACTGATTTGCTTCTGCACTTTTGTCAAAAAATCAGTTGGACATATATTTGTGAATTTCTGAAATCTCCATTTGGTTTCATGGCTCTATTTGTATGTCTTTATGCTGATACCGCACTGTTTTGATTGGCTTTATATTAAGACTTGAAATCAGCAAATGTTAGTCTTTCAGCTTCGCTGTACTTTATGAAAGTTATTTTAGCTATTTCAGGACTTTTGAATTGCCATGTGAATTTTAGAATTAGCTTGTCAATTCCTTACAAATGAGTCTAAGATTTTGATTGAGGTTGTGTTGACTCTATAGATCAATTTGGGGGAAACTGACATCTGAACAGTATTAAAACTTCCAACCCACAAACAAAGGATGCCTGTCCATTTAGTTAGGTATTCTTTCATTTCTCTCAGTAATATTTTGTAGTTTTTGATGTCGTTTTTTTCACTTTCACTGCATTTTTCTTACCTGTTTCAGTGTTGATATTATCATACATAGTATTATTTGTTGCCAGGAGGTAGAAATACAATTGATTTCTGCATATTCTTGTATCTTGCAAGCTTGTTACACTCACTTATTAATAGTTTTTTGGTAGATGCTGTTGGATCTTCAATACAGACAATCATGTCATCTGTGAATAAGGAAGTTTTACCACTTCCTTTCCAATCTAAATGCTATTAATTTCCTTTTCTTGCCTGATTACACTTGCCTGAAACCCCAGCACAATGTTGAACAGATACAATGAGAGTGGACCGTTAAGTACAATGTTCGCTGTAGGATTTTCCCAGGTGCACCTATCAGGTTGAGGTAGTTCCCCTTTATTCCTGGTTTGCTTAGTGTTTTTATTGGGAGTAGATACTGGATTTTTGCCAAAGGCTTTATGCATCTATTGTGATGATAATATAGTTTTTCTTATTTAGTTTATTCATATGGTGAATTATATTAATCTTTTTTATGTTGAACCAATCCTGCATTCCTGGAGAAATACACTTGGTCATGATATGTTATCCTTTGAATATATCATTTGGTTTGATTTGCTGAAAATGTGTTAAGAATGTTTGCATCTATATTCAGTGAAGACATTGGTCTGCAGGGGTTTTTTTCCCCTGTAATGTCCTTTTTGGTTTCAATATCAGAGAAATTTTTGTCTCAAAAATGAGTTGGAAAATATCCTCATCTCTTAAATTTTCTGGAAGATTTTGTGTAGAATTGATTTTTCTACTTCTTTCTTAAATGTTTGATAGAGTTCACTAGTGAAACCATCTGCTCTTAGAGTTTAATTGGTGGGAAAAATTTAAATTACAAATGCAATTTATTTAATAGACATATGGCTACTTAGGCTGTCTATTTCTTCCTGAGTGAGCTTTAGTCATTTGTGTCTTTCAAGGAATTTGTCCACTTCATCTAAGTTGTTGTTGAATTTATTGGCAAGTTGTTCATAACTCTCGCTTGTCACTTTTTCAGTATCTGTAGATCCTGTAGTGTCACCTCTTTCATGCTTGATATTGATAATTTGTATCTTCTCTCCTTTAATCTTGACCAGTATGGCTAGGGATTTATGAATTTTACTGATCTCAAAGAACCACTTTTAGATTAGTTGATATTTCTCTATTGTTTCTGTTTTTATTTAATTTATTTCCAATTTGATCTTCATTATTTCCTTTCTTCTACCCTCTTTGGGTTTGATTTAATCTTCTTTTAGTGATTTATTTTTTTTCAAATAGACTTTATTCTTTTAGAGCAGTTTCAAGTTCACAACAGAATTGAGCAGAAAATACAGAGTTCACACATAGCCCTCCCCACCCACACATATATACTCCCTGACCCTCAACATCCCCCATCAGTGTGGCATATTTGGTACAATCGATGAACCAACACGGTCACATTATTATCAACCAAAGTCCATAGTTTACATTAGGGTTCACTCTTGATGTTGTACATTCTATGGGTTTTGACAAATGCATAATGACATGTAGCCACCACTATAGTATCACACAGAATAATTTCATTGCCCTAAAAATCCCTTGTGCTCCATTTATTCATTCCTCCCCCCTTCCCTCTCCCCAAACCCCTGGAAACCACAATCTTTTTATTGTTTCTGTAGTTTTGAATGTCATTTGGTTGGAATCGTACATTTTGTAGCCTTTTCAGACGGGCTTCTTTCATTTAGTAAGATGTCTTCTAAGTTTCTTCCATGTCTTTCATGGCTTGATAGATCTTTTATTTTTTTACTGCACATATATTTTTAAATTTACATATATGTACCGTTCATTGTTTCTAAGAATGTTTTAAGCTTTGGCTTTTTAAACTTATACAGTTATCAAAGGAATAAAACCAACCACAAAATAAGAATTAACTCAAAAAGATACATACACCTTGCTATTAACAGCAACATTATTTATAATTGCCAAGATATGGAAACAGCCTAAGTGCACATCAATAGTTGAATAGACAATGAAGATGCAGTATACATGTATGTAATGGAATACAACTAACCCATAAGAAGGAAAGATTTTGCAATTTGCAGCCCTTCATTCACTTTTTTTTTCACTTTGAAAACCAGGATTCTATAACTAGCAGAGACATTTCCATTACATCAAAAACAATAAAATACCTAGAAATAAACTTAACCAAGGAGGTTACGTATACTCTGAAAACTGAAATGACACAAAGAAATGGAAAAATCTCTTGTGCTCTTAGATTAGAAGACTCAACATTGTCAAAATGGCCATGCTACCCAAAGCAATCCACAGATCCAACACAACCCCCATCAAAATACTTGTGATAGTCCTCACAGAACTAGAACAAACAATTCCAAAATTTATAAGGAACCATGAAA